TATAGCAATGATAGTCAAGAATTTGAAATAAAATTACATACGAGTAAATTTTTATCTACTTTTTACTAAACTTCCCAGCTGTGTAGTTAGAACTTTATATATATATTTCTTTATCAAGTCTGTGCTTATCTGACTTATGCTATGAAGTGCAGAGTATCTATGCTGTTATAACATTGCCACTTAGTTTTTGGATTATAATTGGAACTATAATTGGATTATAATTTATTATTAATGATCATATCACTTATCTCCAAAGCACTTTATATTTATGATTTGAAATTTCTATATTGTTTAATTATGAAGAGCAGGGATTTTTATTTTGTAGTGAAACTATTGTAACATTAGTTTCTACTAGTTGTCTTTAACTGCAGGTAAACCCTAGCAGTTTCATACAGTATTCATGATAAAATGCCGTATTTGGTTAAACATCAAAGATTAGACACATTTGTATATCTCTAATTCCCCCAATCTCAATAAAATTAAAGGAATAAAATAAGTATAATAAGTATAAACTCATGAGGACAAAGGCAATAGAAAAAGAAATAGTACGCAAAAGATAGCAGAAAATTTAGGGAAAATTTCTCCACACAGGTGGGGCAATTAGTGGGGTTAAAAATATCCTCAATACTATGTACCACAAAAGAGAAGACCATAAAGAGCGATATGGTAATACATGCTGTAGATCTCTGAGAAGTTTTAGGAGTGGGAGACATTTGGTGTAAACAGTGGGGGTGGGCAGAAGGTTGAAAATAAGAGAATTGGGTGTGAGTGTATGAGGGAGATTTTAAAAGGTTGTGGAAACTTTAATTAAAAGATAGTGGAATTTTTCTGAAAACTTTTTGAAGCCCCCTCGTATAAGAAATAGAATTCTCCCAGGCCTCTCCCTCACCTCCACAGCCATGTGATTGTTTCTGCCCCACATTGGCAAGAGATTGGAGTTACCAGTCAGGAACTGAAATCTAAGAGGCTCTGGCTACAAAGAAACCACCACCACATTAACACGGGGAGAGAGATTAACACGTCTGGCAACAACAGCCTTTCTAAGTAGCTGTGTATTTCTCCTATGCCAATCCTTTCCTCGTCAGCAGAGAATTGGAGAGTTCTTCGGTAGAATAGCAAAAGCATCCCCATAAAATTTTGCACCTGGGGACCCCAACAATATGGCCAGGTGCCCACCTGATCATCCTACAGGGAAACCCATCAGGTGAAAACCCCATTTCTCTACACATAGAGAGCTTTTAGTCACTAGTGTTAAATGTCAGCAGATATTAGAGTCCATGGAAAATGGTGGCAATACCGGGAGCATAAGAAAACTTAAAAATTCAATCTCAATTTTCAGAGAGCATAGAAAATGTGTTATTGTTATGTGCCAGAGAGTCTATTCTGACGCATGCGCAATAGAAGGAAACACTGAGAACACTCTGAGAGTGTTGTTCGTGGTCTGTGCCACTGTAGCAGATGCAAGAAAAGGGAGGGATGCTGGGGCATAAAGTTTTCCCATTGTTTAAAAGTTGCTTTTTGCTTGTTTTAGAGTGCTTTTAGCTGTTGCAACCTTCCAGTTGCTTCTTAGAGGTTTGACAGAATTGAGACTACTGAGTTCTGTTTGTTTTTATAAGTGATCATGGTGGAAGCGGGGATGCTGTCATCTTCCTGAACGTTTCCATTCGTTTTTTATAAGATATTCTTGGGAGACCTTTTTCCTTATTTTGATAAACAGAAAAGTATAAAATATATAATCCATGGGGACTTTTGTGCCAGTGAAGTTGCCTATAATGTACATCGAAAGATTGGAGCTACACTCTTAAGGTTTCAAAGGAATTCAGACAGTTGAAATAGATAGTCTTTTTTAGACGTCCCTGCCAGATATCGCGAACCTGAAAATAACCACTCAGAAGTGGGTATTGATAAATTTCAGAGTATTTTGCTTAAAGGGTTATTTGTAAAGGTTCTAAAATCTTTATTTACCATACCATTTAGACATTTTCTTCCAGTGGAAATGACAAACTTTTGTCTCCTAACATGTGTAACAGTAACTGTTAAGAAATAAAGTAAATGTAGATCATGTTGGAATCTATTCTCGTTTTTTAAGTTGATCGTGTCAAAATACCACAAAGTGGAACACTTTGAAGAACAGAAATATATTGTGTAACAATTCTAGAGACCAGAAGTCTAAATTAGCATGTCGACAGGGCTACGCCCTCTCTCTGTTGGCCCTAGGGGAAGATCCTTCCTTGATTTTTTTCAGTTCTCTCTTCCCCTTTGTGCTTTTTCATCTTATCTATTTTCCTCTTCTATAAAATTCGACTCCAAGGGAATTAAGTTATGACCCACCCTACTCAGGTATCATCTCATTTAATTTAATTAATAAAAACACAAAACTATTTCCAAACAATGTGATATTCATGACAAAGCTTTGTTAGTACTTTAGCATCTTTCTGGGAGACACAGCTTAATCCACAGCAAAATCTACATTATTTCTATGCAGTGTTAACCCGGGCTATCTTTGTTGATAAGATAACTACTGAAGAAGTACACTTTTCATGGAGAAATCTACACACACACATACCGCCCCCACCCACCCAAGTATCACAGGATTTGGGATATAGTTTGTAAAGCCTTTAAATCTCAGTATTCCCTTTTCTCATCAACTATCTTGTTTTCTAGCACTTAGCATTTACAACAACAGTAAAATTTCTATCCAGTTATTTTTTTTTACTAATAACATAGGCTGGCAGTAATGAATGCCAAGATATGAGGCAAGAGTAATGCTGGCTGTGATGATTATATGCTAACTTGGCTGAGGCATGATTCTCCGGGATTTGGCAGTTATGTAATGATGTAATCTGGAAGTTGTATACTGTACATACTCGAGTATAAGCTGAGCCAAATATCAGCCGAGCACTTAATTTTACCACAAAAGCTGCATTAAAAAATGTATTGGAAAACTAAGCTTATGCATGAGTATCTATGGTAATAATGCAGTCATCATCCATTTTGTAGTTTGGTGTGGTCACCCTCCATTTTCGCATGCCAATTTTTACATGATCTATTCTTTGGAACCTCACCATGCTGATAAATGAAGAGTGGATGTACGATTGCTAACCCCCCAAAACTGGAATTTTTTTCCCCAAAGCTATATATTTTTAATTTTTTTTTTACAAAATGACCTAATGACCTTCAAAGTACTCTCCATTACACTTAATACATTTGTCAAATCTGCAATTCCATTCATAGAAACAGTTTTCAAACTCATCTGTTTGGATGGCTGACAGCAGTTCCCTCGTTTTTTTTCTTCACCTCTTCTATATAGTCAAATTGCTATCCTTTCATGTCCCTCTTCATTTCATAGAAACGAAAAGAAGTCGCATGGAGTGAGGTCAGGTGAGTAAGTTGCCTGGGGCAAGAGAGGCATCCTTTTTTTTTTTTGGCCGAAAAATGGTTCACTGAGATGTCTGGGTGAGCAGGTGCATTGTCATGGTGGCAAAACCAGTCTCCCATCTGCCACAAATCAGGTCTTTTTTGTCACACACTGTTAGACAATCTTTTCAGGGCCTCTAAATAAAAAGCTTGACTAACAATCTGACCTGGTGGAATGAACTCCAAATGCACTGATTTGACATTTTCGTACATTCAGGAAATTATCAGACATGCAGAATGAAGTTTGTCATCAATCAGCATTTCATCTGTTTAGAAACGAGAAAACCACTTGAGTTTTCCATAGCGCCATCCTTGTAAGCAGTGTTCAACATCACAACAGTTTCTGTGGCATTTTTCCCAGACAGGAAACAAAATTTCACAGCTGCACACTGTTCTCTTAAAAAAGCAAGGTTTGAGCAAAACTGCTTTTACGGAAAAAATCACTGTGACCAGTGAGAACCTGGGGGCACTAACTCAGAGTGAGTTGCTCGACGCTCACCTAGCGGGAAAAATGCGTACTCTGACAGTTCCACTCTGCCCAGTGCAATTCCAGGTGTTTTGGGTACCCCTACCATAACTGACTGCAATCTAGTCAATGCTGACTCACAGTAACCCTATAGGACAGGGTATGTCTGTCCCTCTGAGATTCCTAGGATTAGAAAGTCCCGTCTTTCTCCTGGTATAACTAACACTGCTTTTTATTTAAGTATTTTCTATTTTAGAAAATATTACCCTGAAAAACCTTCCCTCACTGCCCTTTAAAATGAGGGTTAAAAAAATTAAATTATTTTCTTCAAACAAAGTGCATATAGTCCAGACATCCCTTGGAGATATTGCAGATTCAGTTCCAGATCATGGCAGTGAAGTAAATATCGCAGTTAAATGAGATGTGCACTTCTTTTTTTGTTTTGTTTTAGTTTCCCAGTGCATATAAAAGTGGTATTTACTATAAACACCACTTTTATATGCATTGGCGCCCTGGTGGCATAGTGGGTTACGCTGGGCTGCTAAACGTATAGTTAGCATTTGGAAACTACCTGTCCCTCTGCACGAGAAAGGGCTTTCTACTCCCATAAAGAATTACAGTCTTGGAAACCCACAGGGGCGGTTCTACCCCTGCTCCATGGAGTCTCTTATGAGTGAGAATTGACTAGATGCCAGTGAGTGAGTAGAGTCTGTTAAATGTCCAGTAGCATTGTACAAGTTTGAGCTGTTGTGATAATTACCAAGTTGTGATCTAAAGCCAGGAAGTGAACATAGGCTGTTTGCAAAATGGCACCAATAAGCCTCAATTTGTACAAAACACATTTGTCAGGCACAAGTAGTAAAGCACAATAAAACAAGGCGTGTGTATATATGTGAAATTGCATTGATCTTTTGTTGTTCATTGGACTGGGTAGTTGGGCGAATGGGGAGAGCATTCTTACCTCAATTTCATCTTCTTCTATAATTGAGAAAGAAAGATGAGGCTTTATACTCCCATAAAGATATACAGTCTAAACAACCCACAGGGGCAGTTCTACCTTGTCCTATCGGGTCATTGAGTTGGAATCAACTCTATGGCAGTAAGTTAGTTAACTGTCACTGAAGACACTTCTTTTAATGGATGTAAATCTGTAAAAATTCTTAGAGATTATTTCCCTTTAGTTTACTAATATGATATCTCTGTGTTTCCCTTATTTGCTTCTTAGGGTAAGGTAGCTGAACGTGGTACCCACCACAGTTTGCTTGCTAACTCTTACAGCATCTATTCAGAAATGTGGCACGCACAAAGCAGTCGTGTGCAGAACCACGGTGATGCCACATGGGATGCAAGGAAAGAAGATAGATCCAAAGAGATTGAGCGGAAGAAACTACAAGATGAGATTATCAACAGCGTGAAAGGATGTGGAAATTGTTCCTGCTAAGTCATATGACATAATGTGTATGTCTGTCTGTCTGTCTCTCTTTTTTGACAATACATTTGCACTGAAACAGAATTGTTTTATAGGCAGTTCCCAAATTATAAATGTCCCAACTCTAGTCAACTCCTAGTTGCCCTTTATTGCAAGGCTTCAAGCCAATTCTGCCATGGCTGAGGAGAAGCAAAACAAGTACCCAGAACAAGAAAGATTATGGGTCAAAGCCATGGAGTGGGTGGTTTGGAAAAGGCTTAAGTGACTCATTTTGAGAGCCCGAGGCAGAGAACAAATTATTAGCAGGACTGTGGTCAGTGACACATATTCAGAGTAGCATGATTGGCCACCATCTTGGAGCAGAGTGCTGTCATCTATGAAGACCTGCTTTCATGTCATGTAAATTTGTCCTGACTTCGAGATGAATTTAACAGTCACCTTCACAGTTTTTGAATCCTTGAAAAGGTTTCAGCTTTTTCTCTTGCACTAAAGTAAGACTAAGTAAGAACAGTACACACCAGGCAAGATTGACTTACAAAGTCTAGAAGACAAGATAGGAATGGATCTTTTCCATAACCCAGAAACGACTTGTATTTTTTAAAAAGCATACCTTCCCATTTTCTATAATCTTTTTAGATAAATTTATTTTAAAGGAAATTTTAGTTTTACATCATTTCTAATCTATTAAAGTGTTACCTATTTATTCCCCAAATATTTTCTTATTACTGCTTTGGTTGTGCTCAGTGGATAATCTTTGTTACCATTTGAGTTTACCCGGTTTTCATTTTTGAGGCCCAATGCCCACTTGATGTCCATCACCAGATGAATGAGCTTGGATTCCAAACCTCTGTATAGTTTTTTAAGTCCCCTTTATGCTTACAATTTTGATGGAAAGTGTTTGTTTCTTAAAATTAAAAGAAAAGAGAAAGAAAAGACAATGTCGTTTTATTATTTCTGTTCCTTCCCAACTGAAGTACTTCAGTGATAAGAAAATGAATTTGTAAGCACGTTTAAACTTGTCAGAAATGGACATGCATTTAATTCAGATTATCTACGTCATAAATATTTATACTTATATATGTTAAAGCTTTTGTGATTATGTACCATTTTGAGGAAAACCTTTAAGTTTCACATTGGCATATAGAATATTTTTCATCATTGACCAGCAGCATAAATATCATCTAGTACAAGGGTAGGCAATCAGCAGTTCTTGAGGTCTATGCAGCTTTTAAAAAAATCATTTTTTTGTGGGTTCTTACAGTTCTTACAACAGTCCATATAGCCATTGTGTCAAGCACATTTGTACATTGTTGCCATCATCCTTTCCAGAGCATTTTCTTTCTACCTGAGCCCTCGGTATCAGCGCCTCATTTTTTTTCTTCCCTCCGCTACCCTCCCACTCTCCTAAACCCTTGATAATTTATAAATTTTTATTTTTTTCATAGCTTAAACCATTTGCTATCTCCCTTCACCCATATTTCTGTTGTTTGTCACCTGGAGGGTGGGGTGTTGGTTATACATCAATAATTGTGATTGGTTCCCCCATTCTCTCCCCACCTTCCCTCTACCCTCATGGTATCCTCTTCCCTTATTGTCCCTGATGGGTTTATCTG